ATGGTCCTTACCTCGAATTACAGGTCCGAAGGGAGAAGGAAAAGGGATACCAACCTTGCTGCAACACAATCGCTATCGTTGTTCTTGTTCTTGAAGGGGCTGTCAACGGTTCAGGTCTACCCGGCTGGCCCGAATCGACCAAACCATTTATAAAGGATCCGGCTCCTTGATTTTGCAGAAATAAATAATTGGGTCGGTTCTGCTACTCGCCCCTCCCGAATCGATTCATTCCAAAAACCGCTTATTTTGTTAACCATATATATTATTTCCTTCGTTTTCATACAGTTTCTCTCTTATCGTAGGTTTAAAGTGTCGAGTCTGAWWGATAGATAGATAAAMAAAAGTGTCTGACGTTTTAACATATAAGTATCTTAGTATTTTTCTATCAATTTTATTAACGATATATGTTTAAAGTTTAAATTTTAGTTTGCGATATAAATAAGAAAAGTTGTGTTTTTTAGCTTAAATTGTTCGGTTTTAAACCTATGTTTTTGTTTCAACCTAAATTCTAAGTTAAAATTGACGGTTTTGGGTCTAACGTTTTGTCCCAATGAATGATCTACTCGGGAGTGCTTCTACCAAGACCGGACACGGATCCCAACCGTTGACAGCCCTATCTTGAATGGTGGCCAATTTCCGGTCGAGCCACCAGTCAAAGCATGATGAGAAATAGTCAGTCACTTATCAGAAAGAATTAAAAGAAAATAGAAGTCCATTAASCAAGGGATGTGACAGATATACTTACATTATTAACGGAAAGCAGAAACAATAGTATGGCGCAATATAGTCGGAATGACCTCCCCAGAAATAGCAACGCCTCGAGGTGTCCAAAACTACGCATTTAACCAGAGCGAATTAGAAAGCCATACACCCGAAAGAGGAYACMGAATGAAGTGGAGAGTTGAGAAGCTTACACGAAACATTGGACCAGCTTCCTYAGAGTAAAGCCGTGAGAGCTTGCCTGCAAGTCKACCATTCTTCCGTGCYTGCACCCATAAGACCCAAGGATATTATAGCCACTGCCACGACCGACAAACCTTGTCTTCCAAAAAGGATATAATTTAGGTATCCAGACATTGTACAAAAAGCGAATACTTGTACAGCTTCTGCATCCGTATCGCTTCCGAGTCTCCTTTGCGCTCACRCCCTTCACCTATCAAGAATATCTAATCAGGAACAGGTGGACGAGAAATAATATACAAGTGAATATAGAAGAAGACGGTTAGAGTGGCTTATTCTGGATTCCAGCGTATGCAAGGCCTCAGCGAACTACTGCTCCAATTTGAACTTTTGAATCTGCTCCATTGACGCCATCTCATGGAAGTGGCGATGCCTGTAGAAGCCAAGGGGAGTATTAGAAAATTAAAAGATGTTACAACCACAAAAAACGGCAATAAAGCAAGAGAAGCCCTTGTAAAAAGTACCAACATATATAACCAATGGTGGCTTACCCAATGGCATTCATTCTGATACGGCAGTTTGCAATCCGAACCCATTAGAACGTTCCTGCAATGACAAGGCAGAAATTGCATTTGCAAAATATATTAATTAGTGAAAATCCAGAACGAACATCGCAGGACAAAATCTTATGCCCCAATAACATAGCTACGAACATCGAGTGTGGTTTTGAAAGGCCCTTACCTCGAAGTACAGGTCCGAAGGGAGAAGGAAAAGGGATACCAACATTGCTGCAGCAAAATCGCTATCGTCGATCATGTTCTTCAAGGAGTTGTCAATGGTTCAGATCTACCCGGCTGACCCGAATCGACCGAACCATTTACAAAGGATCTGGCTCCCTGATTTTTCGGAAATAAATAATTGGGTCGGTTCCGGTCCTCGCCCCTCCCGAATCGATTCATTCCCAAAACCGATTATTTTGTTAACCATATATATTATTTCCTTTGTTTTATAACTGTTTCTCTCTTATCATAGGTTTAAAGTGTCGAGTCTGATAGATAGATAGATAAATAAAGGTGTCTGACGCTTTAACATATAAGTAACTTATTATTTTTCTATCAATTTTATTAACGATATATGATTAAACTTTAAATTTTAGTTTAAGATATAAATAAGAAAAGTGGTGTTTTTTAGCTTAATTAGTTCAGTTTTAAACCTATGTTTTTGTTTCAACCTAAATTTTATGTTAAAATGGACGGTTTTGGGTCTAAG